ACCGCGGTTTAGTCAGGCGCGCTTTTTTTGTGCGCGCATTAGTGGTGGAACCCACAAATACAAGTAGATTTTGACAAGTGCAAGGCAAAGATATTAATGAATTGCCATCAAGTCATTGTTGACTGTTAGTGACCACATAAATTTTCTCCATGATTATTTGTTCCTAGGCTGGTCTTTCAGACCTTCCAACATAGTACCTCTTGTGTCTACCCATTATACATCACCACTGCAATTAAGTCCATTCACGTTGCTACTACTCATCTTCTTGTCTTTCCTTGTATGTTTCCCAGCATTACAGCCTGCTACAGAGAGTTATGTTTTTGCATAATTTGGGTGGTAGGATAGTCACATCATTTGTGCCTTGAGTGAGAAAATCTACATTGATATGTTCAGCCCACCAGTTTGTTTTCTTGAGTGTCTACCATATTCTCAGTTTTCTCCACCATCAAAGTTCAAAAGCATCAATGGTCTTCCCAGCTTGCTTCCTCAAAGTTCAAGTTTTTGCTTCCATTTAGTGTCACAGGGAATACCATGGTTTGCACAGTTCTGATCTTTGTAGGTATAGACACATTGTGGCATTTGAATATTTTTTCCAAAGCCTCCATGGTTGCTCTACCAAGTTTGCAATGCATTTCTTGTGTGCTGGGATTCCCATTTTTCTGAGTACATTCCACAGTTCGATGTGACTGACATAATAGAAAAACCTGTTTAAAAAAACCCAATAAAGAACATAGTGACTTCTTTTTGGCATTTGGTTTTCTCAATTATCCAGCATGCATGAGCAATAAAATTGTGCATTCCTTGGACTTTTCTAAAGCCAGTTTGGACATCTTTCATCTCTTTTTCCATGTAGGACTTTAATCTGTATTGGATGATCTTAAGAAGTATTTTGCTAGCATGTGAAAATTAAAGATATTGTATAATCAGAGGTGGTATTCAGTCGGTTTGGTACTGGTAGCTCCGATGATCAGTTGGCCCCACCCACCTGGCCTCGACCTATCCTGTCCTTTATTTCCTGCTTTCTAGCTCATCTCAATCATGCAGCACAGCTGATTTCTCGCTGTTCTACTTACCATTGTTGATTTGGAAGGTAAGCAGCTGAGCTTTTAAATACTCCATTTTCAGTGCTGCGCGCAAGCGCTTTAGGCCTGCACATGCACATAAAGTGCGCTTACTGAACTGGTTGTTAAATCAGCAGCATCCCACCACTGTGTATAATAGTTTGCATACTCTGTTGGGTCTCCTTTTTTTGGTATTGGAAGCTGAGGTGGCGCAGTGATTAAGGTGCAGTACTGCAGGCCACTTCAGCTGACCGTTATCTGCAGTTCAGCGATTCTAATCTCACCGGCTCAAGGTTGACTCAGCCTTCCATCCTTCCGAGGTGGGTGAAATGAGGACCCAAACTGTGGGGGCGATATGCTGACTCTGNGTCACTTATAAAGCCCTTCATGGTATTGGACCTGGGTACTTGAGAGACCGCCTCCTGCCAATCACCCCCCCCCCCGAAGGAGGGAAAATGGGGGGGGGGGGACCCACAAAATTATTTCCACAATGGTAATCCACACCTCATTGCAAGAGGTAAAAAAAGGGGAATAAAAAAAGCAGGAAAAAGATAAAAAATGAGTAGGTAAAGAATGACCCAAAGTAACAAAATGAACAAGAAAAAAAGGAATCTTTAGTATGAGTTGTCTGGGTTATCCAAATTTCTTTTCCCCCCACCCCATAGGAAAAAGGGGGAAAGGCACACTAACAGGAAGACATTCTCAGCAGCCCATTATAAGGTAGCCAGGGAAGGCAAAGCAATGTTTACACAGCTGGTCTTATTTCTTTCTCCTAGAAGACTTTTTAATCAGTTCGTTGTTATCCACAATGGTTCAAGGCCAACTCTTCTTAGGAAGCTTTTATGGGCACCATTTACTACTAGTCAGCAATGCAGACAATTAATTCAACATATTTTCTTTTAAGTTCCTGGCTTCGAAAGCAAATCACAGCGATTCTCGAAAGTTAGCAAGAAAATCAAAGGTATAGAGTGAAAGTTAAACACCGAGAGCTTCTGATTTGCTTTCTAACATCCTTAAGCAGTTCTCAAGATCTATCACTTCCTTTCTTCTATCTATCAGCTCCATCCGTTCGCTGCTGGCCCGAGGGAGGGAGAGCTTTGTAACGTCCGTGCACCCCCTTTCTTCTGCCACTCTCTCTTTAAAAAGCTTTAACCGGAGGTTAAAAAGTTAATTTACAGGAAAGTTGCACCTTCCAGCACTCTTATTATCTCACCCAGATGTTCATCACATTGATTCCTGTGCTCTGTCTGGCCTTCCAGCTGTGGTAGCTCGCATTGGCTACCTTTCCTACTTTGGGTCCGAAGGCAAACGCAGGCGTTTTAGGGGAGTTGCAGGTTCCCCAACCACACCTACTTGTGCTTCACTGTCCCCCCAGGACAGCTATGGTAGGGTTAAAAATAAACCCTTCCCCGGTACAGCAGGAATCTGACGGTTCAGAGAGCCCTCTGGAGAACATGTCCTGTTGCTGGGATTCAGGCCGCACCTCCGCCAATTCCCAATCTTTTCTGTACCCCATATCCCCAGTATGCTTCTGATATATTCTCGCACACCTTACAGAAGTAAATAATTATATGCATATAATTATAAATATAAACTATAATTTTGAAACTTCTAAACCCAAGTTTTCGCACCTCCTAGAATATCGTCTCGCACCCCCAGTTGGGAACCTTTGACCTGGTCTAAGCATCTTTGAGGTCACCCAAATACTTTTTTTTTTTAATTTTCCTTTTCATTTTCTGACTTAAGTTTTTCCCTAGAATTTTCAACAGGATTATTTCTCAACCTCTCTGTGTGTCTCTCTCATTCATATTCCCAAATGCTGCTAGTCTTTTGCCTTGTGCCTCCAGGCAGCCACTTACATATTTTGAGAGGCACAGCTTCCCTGTTGCCTTTATATATTTTTAATCCTTTTTGCCCCTCTAGACTTCACAAGAGTGTATCTCAGCTTTGTGTACCTTCAAGACTATAGCTCTGGGCCCCAAATTCAGGAATTATTGTCCTTTCAAAGTTTTATACCTTAAAGAGTTTGGGCATCATTAAAGTTTTCATAACTGAATTCACTGCTTATCAATATGCCAGGTATGTAAAAGTTTCAAAACTTCACTAAGGTTTGGATTACCTTTTAAGTATCACTCATGGACAAACGCTAAAAAATAAAGAGTGAAAGACATTTC